TCAATCATAGTCTCTTTGTTTAGTTCCGTGATCTCTTTATCTATGGTGTCATCTTTTGTTTCGGTACCCCCCAATTCCGTTGGAGTTTTAACATCTTTTTTATCTACGATTTCAGCTTTTATTGTATCTGTGGATGGTGATTTTGTTACATCATCGAGAGAATTATCAGTTGGTATTTTGTGTTTGATTATTTCATCCCCCTCTCCCTTATATCCCTGGGAAAGTTCGTGAATTTTAGATTCTTTTGTGAGAGGGTTACCTTTTTGTTCGTATGATTCAAAAATAGTCGGTTTCCCCCTTATTATATCTTTATCGATTGATCTTATTTTTGTTATTTTATTTTCATTTATTTTTGTTATGTTATCTATTATTTTTTCCTTTTTGTCAATTTGTAATTGTGTGTCATCTGGGAACCTAATTACATTGGTTAACTTTCGGAGGGATTCTTTATTGCCTTTTATTTTTTCAAACTCAACCTTAGTTTGTTTTTCTAATTCGATTACTGCCTTATGTATTGTTTTTTCTTTACTATCATTTTTATATAAAGTGTCTGTTTTAATTCTATCATTTTTTTCAATATTTATGGTTATATTTTCCTTTGTTTCTTTTTCTTCTTTAAAATTTTTATTGTTTTCTTGTTTATCATCTTTCTCTTCAATTGTTTCCGTTTGTTTTATTAACTTTTCATTGTCCACTTGAGTTCTTATATCATTTTTTATTTCCATCGTTTTATCTGTGGAATTGTTTTTTTTTTTAATTTCAATTTCTACTATTTTTGGTATTCCACCTTTTGAATCGTTATTGGTATTTTCGGAAAATGTTTTTTCTTTTTCTCTTTTTTTTTCCATTATTACCTTTTTGTTCATGTTTAACTGACCTGTTGTTTCAGTTTTAGTTTGATGTGTCAATGGCTTGGTTATAGTTATTGTTTTTGTTTGATTCTCAGTATGTTGTTTATTTATGGAATTTGTAATAAATTCTTTAACGGTATTTGATTCATCTGTAATGAGTTCTTTGTCAATTGAAGCATTTTTTATCTGTTTGTATATCATTTTTTTTTGTGAATTTGTTGAATTACATTCCTCTTTTTCTTCCTTTAATTGATCAACCCATTTATAAAACTCATCAAAATGTTTTTTATCTGTTTCATCATTGTCCACATATTGCTGTTCATTATAAGTGCACTCTTCACTTATTTCTATGCTTTTGTTTTTTACATTTTCTTTTGATTTTTCTAATTTATCTTTTTCGTATCTTTCTGCTTTTTCATTTTTTTGTATAGCATTTTTAATATAGTTGTCACTATTTCCTTCTATAGATACCATTTCCTCCCTAATTATTTGAGCTTTTCTACTTGTATCCATCAGTTCTAATTTTTTATGTTTTTCTGTTAAGGTTTTATCTTTAGTATTTTGTGTTTTATTTTGTTTATACGATTCATAATATGAACTTGAATCAATTATTTTCTCTTTTTTTATTTCTTCTCTGGATGTAGTTTTCATGCACTCAATTTGTTCATTTTTATGTCTCGTTATGTCATTGAGTTTATGTTCTTCTGTCTTTATTTTGTCTGACTGTTCTTTTTTATCAAATTCTTCTTTTGATATTTCTTTTAAAATTGATTTTATATCAGACTTTATAGGTATATTTTTTACAGTTAAATCGATATTGGATGACTGAGTTTCAATTTCTATCAAAGACCACGATACAGTTTTATTAATTTCAATATCTATATTCTTGGTTTCTTTTATTATATTTGTCTTGTCAATGGTCGAAATTTTTTCTGTTTCGTGTAAATCAGTTAATTTATTGGTGTTTGTTGTCAATGTTTGTTCTTCAATTTCGTTCTTCTCCTTACCAATCGCAAATGATACT